AACTCACACAGGTGAGAAACCATATTCTTGTAAACAATGTGGGAAGAGTTTCATTCGACGCGATGCTTTAATTATACACATGAGAACGCACACAGGTGAGAAACCATATTCTTGTAAACAATGTGGGAAGAGTTTCATTCGACGCGATGCTTTAATTATACACATGAGAACGCACACAGGTGAAAAACCATATTCTTGCAAACAATGTGGGAAGAGTTTCAGCCAAAGGCATCACGTATTGACACACATGAGAACGCACACAGGTGAGAAACCATATTCTTGTAAACAATGTGGGAAGAGTTTCATTCGACGCGATGCTTTAATTATACACATGAGAACACACACAGGTGAGAAACCATATTCTTGTAAACAATGTGGGAAGAGTTTCAATCGACGTGATACTTTATTTATCCATATGAGCTCACACAGGTGAAAAACCATATTCTTGCAAACAGTGTGGGAAGAGTTCTAGTCAAAAGTGCATGTATCGCTGCATTATGTAACAATGTAATAAAAACCAGGCTTCAAAATTTAACTGCACTAAAACCACATTATGTAATGACACAAAATGTAAAAAAAAGTCTTCAATGCATTTTGTAATACTCGCAGCTGCTTTATGTAATAATATTACATTTTGCAGTGTTTGTCACAAAATGCGGTGGTTGCTCTTTTTATAATTATAATGTAACAGTTTCTCTTCATGGGATCAATAAAGTATCATTAATTCATTCATAATGTAAGAAACAAATACAAACCAGTGTTTTTGTAAATTCTAATCAATACACTTGTAATAATCATGTTGCAGATACTAATCTTTGAAACTTTGATCAATTAATGCCAAACTTTTCATCATTTAGTTGCCTGTTCATACCCAGATTCCTCTGTATTAATCTAAAGGTCATTCAAGGCAGACAATCAAGTAAATAGCTTTTTTAACTGATTGGATTTCAGAAAAATGTTAACCTATCCTTTGAAAGGCAAACGGAAGGTGGGGAAATGTTTCTGTTAACATTGGATGAAAGAAGCACATGATCTAAAAGGTTAATGCAAATTGAACAGAACCACAAACATTTCCTCAGAGGTGCAAGATAACTAAAACCATCACTGAACATCGCCCACACAAATGCAGGCCACATGTGAGCAAGGCATGTGGCACACAAGAACTGCAACGGCACAGCACACCTTAGGTCCTGACTAACACAATGCCACAGGAGTGCAAGAAACAGCGCATCTGTCTCACATGAGGCCCAATGAGCACAAAGCGACACACACACAATGTCCCGCTTCTGACTGACTCAAATAAAAAAAACATGATCAACAAACATTTTGTGGCTGATTTTGCGAACATTAGATAATGCCTCCCTTTGCAAAAGGAGGAGAGAAGAAAGAAAGGCATGAGGCAGAGAAGCAGTGTTAGCTGTCAATCACAACACACTGCAACAGTGTTTAAAAATAAATAATTTAAGACCGGGTATAAAAATAGAATTGATTTATGCATAATGTAATGGAAACTATATCAAATAAACAAAATGCTGCAAAACAAAGACTGGGAAGTGGGTGGGGTCAGCGAAGATCATTTTTAATTTGTTTCATGAAGATAAACAGAACGCGAAGTGACATTGACTGTAAAAGTGATTCATACAAGAAAGATGGCTGTTAGTCTGTGGACACAATCTGCTCAATCTCAAAGATGACTGACAAACTGATCAGACAGCAACAGGTGTCTCACAGTTACACCCGCAGCTTGTTTTAGAGCACAGCAAGGCGTGAGCTGCAGCCTCACCGACAATTTTTGTTTCAATAAAGCTAACTTAGATATCTTCTGGGAGTAGTCTGTAAAGTGGAATAAATTTGGTATAGAGATCAGGACAGTAAAGCTGAATAGGCAACTAAATGATAAAACGTTTTCTATTTGTTAACCAAAGTTTCAAAGATTTAAATGTGTAGTTTCTGCAACATGATCATTATTACATTCTAATTTCTAAAAAGAGCAAGCGCCACATTTTTTAACTACCGCGGCAAAATGTAATAATAGTATTACATAATGCGGCTGTGAGTATTACAAAATGCGTTGAAGACTTAATAC